GGGTGTACACCCCCTGACCATCGACTTGTGATCTGTAAGATGCGCCTGCCATTCTTCCACTCCGGTGGTGGGTGTACACCCAGGACCCCATTCCAACCTAAGGTGGCCTGGTCTCAGTTAGCTAATGAAAGTTCCAAGCGAGAATTTCATCATCGCTTGCGGCTGGGTTTGGCATCGTCCTCCACTCCTCCTGATGTCGAGGGTAAATGGGCGAGGTTTAGGACTGTGACTCATGTAGCTGCAATGGCTGCTTTGGGTACGCGGTCCACACCTCCCCAGAGACCCTGGCTGACAGAGGAGGTGTTCAGGATGGTTGAGAAAAAGCGACAGGTCCACTCTAATCGTCTACAGAATCCCACGTCAGAGGATGAGGAGACTTACCGCAGCCTTCGCTCGGAGGTTCGAAGAGCCGTGAGGCGCTGCAAGGAAGGGTGGTGGTCGCGGGTTGCTGAGGAGATGGAGTCTGCCTCAGTGGCCCGCGATCACAATCCCTATTTAACTTAATCAAAAAAGTAACCTGCAGCGCCACACCTATTACCATCATCAGGGGAAAATACGGTGATCCAATCTCCAAACCCCCAGGAGCAGGTTTGCAGATTTGCTGAGCATTTCTGTGAGGTCCTGGGGGAGGGGAAATCCCTCAGCCAGGAAAACATCGTGCCACAAAGTGGGGATGACCCTGCTGAGGCTGCGGTGCCTCACATTTTGGAGGAAGAAGTCACCCCCTGTGAGTGACTGGCTGAGGTGCCATCTGTTGAGGAAGTACTGAAGACGATCCGGAGTCTGAGACCAGGAAAGGCACCGGGCAGAGATGATCTCCCAAGCGAAATGCTAAAGGAGGGTGGCGTTTGTGCACAGATTGCCCTACATGACATCATAGCAACAGTCTGGACCACTGGACGGGTTCCGCAGGATTGGAAGGATGCCCTGGTGGTTCCCCTTTTTAAGAAGGGGGACCGCACAGACTGTAACAACTACAGGGGCATCTCACTCCTCAGTGTGCAGGGAAAGGTCCTGGCAAGGATTAGTCAACATTGCCTTGCTAGGCACGCTGAGGAGAGGCTTGCAGAGCCCCAATGCGGTTTCAGGAAAGGGCGGTCCTGCACACATGCCATATTTTCTGTCCGTCTGCTACAGCAGAAGTGTAGGGAATTCCAACAAGACCTACATCTCTGCTTTATTGACCTGGTCAAGGCCTATGATACCAACAGTAGGCCTGGGCTCTGGGTTGTTCTTCGTGCTTTCGGAGTCCCTGACCCTCTGCTCAAGATCATTAAGGACCTTCATGATGGTGAGCGGGCCCGGGTAAAACTACGTGGCCGGGAGTCAGAGCCATTCCCTGTACACCTTGGGGTGCGACAGGGATGTCCTCTGGCTCCCACATTATTTAACATCTATTTTGACCACGTAGTTCGTGAAGCCTTCAATAGCTGTACCGGGGGAATTTCCATTTGGTACAGATATAATGGGAGGCTGATCGATGCCCTGGTGCGGTCAAGGGATGGCTCCCTATTGCTCAACCACGTTATGTATGCCGATGATTTGGTAATAGCTGCTCATTCAGAGGAGGAGTTGGAGACGCTGCTGCTGAGACTGGAGCGTGCCACTAAGAGGTGGGGCCTTACCATTAGCCCCACCAAAACTAAGCACCTGCCTGGATATTTTGTACCATCGGACACTCCACCCCCACAACTCTCAATCGGTGATGGGGCAGTTGTGGAGAGAGTGGAGAGTTTCCCATACCTGGGCAGTGTGCTTATGACTGGCTCCAGTTTAACAGCAGAGGTCTCACTCCGAATCAGTCGAGCGGCAATATATTTTCATCAGCTGCGTAACGCTGTGTGGAAGCTACCTGGTCTGTCGCTCCGCACTAAGCTTCAGGTCTTCTCGGCCACGGTCATTCCCTCTCTTCTCTACGCTTGCGAAACGTTGACCCCCCTAATGGAACATCTTCGCCGGTTAGAAACATTTAGGCTGGCCTGCCTACGATACATCCTGGGTTTAACCAGACTGGATTGTGTGAGGAGCTCACAAATCCTTGAAAGATCTGGGCAAGGTCCCATCGGTGAGCTCCTCCGGCGGGGAAGGCTGCGATGGCTGGGTCATATAGCCCGCATGCTCAGCCACCGCATGCCGAAACAGCTTTTGTTCGGCCGTATTGTGGGGGCTAAGCGGGCGCGGCACGGGCTAGAGAAGAGATGGAGTGATGTGGTACAGGAGGACGTGGAGCTGAGTGGACTTGCCGATGACTGGTACCAGCGGTGTCAAGATCGGCCTCTGTGGAGGAGGCTCGTGATGGACGCTACTGGGCAGTTGGAGATAGTCGCCCTCCAACAACAACGGAGGGCGGAGGAGCGACGCTCACAACAACGAGCGGAGCGCCGGGTGGCTGAAGCACAGCGAGTTGGCACAGTAGGGGGGCACAGGTGGTGCATCAGCCAGTCATCTCAGTCAGTCGACCCGTGGCACCTGGGTCTGCCCCGTGACCTCCTGCCAGCGGGCGTTGGACACTTCACGTGGCCTCAGGGTGCACATAGCCTGGCACAAGCGTCGTGGTGACGTCACTGCCACTTAGTGGCGAATGGCGGTTGTTGTTGTTGTGTACGTGTGTAAGTGTGTATGTGTAAGTGTGTGTGTATTTGTGTGTGCGTACCCGTGTGTGTATTTGTAAGTGTGTGTGTACGCGTGTAAGTGTGTGTGTATTTGTAAATGTGTGTGTTTGTGTATTCGTGTAAGTGTGTAATGTAAGTGCGTGTGTATTTGTGTGTGTATTTGTGTGTGCGTGTGTATATGTGTGTGTGTATTTGTAAGTGTGTATGTATTTATAAGTGCGTGTGTATTTGTGTGTGTACGCGTGTAAGTGTGTAATTGTGTGTGTGTATATTGTGTGTGCGTACACGTGTGTGTGTATTTGTGTGTATTTGTGTGTGTGTACGCGTGTGTGTGTGTATTTGTGTGTGTGCATGTATTTGTGTGTGTGTACGCGTGTGTGTGTGTATTTGTGTGTGTGCGTGTATTTGTGTGTGTGTACGCGTGTAAGTGTGTAATTGTGTGTATATTGTGTGTGTGTACGCGTGTAAGTGTGTGTATATTTGTAAGTGTGCGTGCGTGTGCGTGATCGCGATGGCGTTGTGCCCCCGTAGTTTTCACCGCAAGCCGTAAAACAGAAATTTCGAGTGGAATTACCGCTCCTATCGCCGCGATCAGAAAGCAAGGGACACACTCACTCCGCCTACCTGTGTCCAGTGTTTAAATATAAACACGCGTTTCCTCTGCCACCACCCCCTCTAACCCCCCACTCACGGTCCGTGCTGGGGGTTAGGTGAGAGCGGGGGGGGGGGGTGGTGGGAAGTTTGAGAGGTGGCTGGAGAGCGAGCCGTGGTTTGGCGACTCAACTAGTCCACCTGAGATCGGTTCCTCGTCAAGGCGAACAGCAGTGGCGAGCGATACCTGGACCGGTCCCGCGACCCCCCCCCTACCCCACCGGTGAAGTCTGTTCGGTCATAGAACCCTCACCCCCCCCCGTAACCCACCTCCATCCAGCAGTGGATTTACGAAGGGCTCAACATTATTCGTTGTTTTAGTCTCCCCACCTACTCGCCCTTGTCGACAAAAGCACGAGACGCTTGTTACTTTGGCTGTCATTCGCATGTTCAATCCACTGCTTGATGAGGGCTTCCCCCACGTCCTATGTGTCGGTGTGGGGGGGGGTTGACTTTACTTCACCACCCTAGTCAGGGTGCCACGGTGGCGAGATGTTAACTACCTCGCCTGGTATACAGGAGGTCGTTGATTCGATCGCCGACCCTGACACCTGCTGTATATTTGGAGGTTGCGGTGTCTCTCTCCTTGTGGTCGCGTGGATTCTTCTCCGCGTCCTTAGGGGTTTTCCCTCCACGTGTATAATTAACGTCACGCGTTTAGAGTGTTTGGTTGCTGTAAATATCCACGTGACAAGCCGACACTTTGTCGAGCTACCATTCTGTGGCCAGGTCGCTTCCGATAAAAAAAAACAGAGCTTATTTCGCTCATCGGGGCCTTACCTGGTAAAATCAAATAAAAAAAACAATGTTCAGTTTACAATAGTTTCAGTGCGTTGTTGATGAAGTGGAGGGGAAGCATAGTGCAGTACAACACCGGATTTTTACGTGTTTGCCTTGCTGCACTGGCCTCTTGTCGCTCGCAACGTAGCGGCCGCATCAGCCTGAAAGCAACCTGGCAGGGCGTGGTGGTCGCCCCTCCAAGCACTATCCAGGCTCACACCAACCGCTTACACTTCCAAGATCTTGCGACAACAAAAATTCGGGAGCTTTACTTGCACCTGTGCCGAACTCTTTTTTGTTGTTGTTGTTGTCGCTGGCGCCTCTTGATCCCACACGCTTGCAACTCCGTGCGTTTCAATTCGAGCGTGTCTATGTCACCGATGGGCGAAGACGTGGAGCACATTTGACAACTGTGCCTTGCTTTCTCCGGCACCTCCTGGGTACTGTTTGATTGTTTGATTGTGTTCGCGCGCGTGTTTCGTGTGCAACCGTGAAACACGCCCGGCCAGCGAGTGAGTTGTTTCATCTTCCGAAAGGACCCTGCTCTCTCTACTCGTTCTCTGCGGTGCTCACGTCCGTGTCTTTGTTCTGTTGCTGCTTCTGTGCTCACGCAGCACCGCGAATCTCCCGTGTAAGATTGCCCCCCCCCCCCCCCCCCCCCCGGGGCGACTTTGCTAAACTGGACCATCATCCGTGTGAACAAATAAAATCAACGCAATTGTCAGAGTGACATTGATAGATAAAACAATGTGCGAGCAATGCCTGAATGCAGTGGTACAAAACAAGTCTGCGTGTGGTCGCACCCGCACAAAATGCCAATTTCACAATGAAATCTACCGAGAGCTGAATCGGTGGAATTATTTCTTCATTCACGGGTGCATTTTTAATGATTCCTTGTATTTAAAATAATCGGTTTGCGATGATTTGTCGTGTCCAGAACGAAGTCTCCCTCCCTCCTTTTTTTTAACGATCAGAAGAAACTGAAAGATGCTCGGTCTTTCGGCACTTTGCTTCGTTCATCATGTCGTCTTTTTTTGTCTTTTTTGTTTGCTTATGTGCCCCCTTTAAAAAATAAAATAAAATATATAACACGGTTTTCCCATGTAACGTAAAACCCATTGTGTGCTACTGTGTTCATAAATACCAGCAAAAAAAATTCAGCCTTAAAAACCCATCACCACCAGATCCCCTGCTTTCGTCACATGACACAAAGCGCCCTCGGTAGCCCAACGCGTCGAGAAATACGCGACACTCCCCGTCAACTGAGCGTACCGAAATTCCAGCCAAATTCTGGCAGAAATCAAGGCCTTGAAGATGCGGCAGTGGCTGGAGAAGCCGCTCCCGTCAATTGCGCATTTTCTGGCCCTATAGATGGCCAGTTTGGCGTTGTTCATGATAAAAGTTAATCAACCCCTCTATATCCTTGGTACCCTCGTTCCCCCTATATACAAAAATAAGAATTGTGGGTGAGAAATGAAGATTGAATTTCAGTAGAATATTGCGTGACAGCTTATAGAGTGAGTCTAGGCTTTTGCTGTGTACGTATTGATGCGCCACTGTTTCGAGCTCACCAACAGAATCCGCATTCAGGATTTGTGTCTGTGAAAAGTGCCAGAAATGTGTTCGTGGTCACAGTCCCATGGGCAATGCTCCAGCTAAGATCACCGTGGCACTTGTACGATGGATGTGAGTAAAACAGCTCCCAATGAGGCCTCACGCGATCACTGCAGAGCATCGTTTCCCTCCAAGCATAGCCTTTGCGTGACGTTATTATTTGTTGGTGGTGGAAATCGACCATTTGGGCGTACAGCTTTTTCCGGTCTACACCTGAGAAGCACCCCTCCTCCTGGTCAATCCCCGAGGTGTGCCCCCCGTGCTGCTGTGAAGAAGAGAGTTGAGTGTGCTCCCGTGCTGGGGCGACATTCAGTGTTGGTGGAACTGGGCCACCGCCGGCTGACTCGTCACCAGCACTCACAGCAGGAGCGCTCCCCGCTGCTGTTGAGAAGGACCTTCGTACCTCATTGACGAGTTTTGCGGCGAGTCCGAGTACATTTTGGTCATCGCAGTTATCTCGGCAGGGAGAAGCCACTGCCCCTCCGTGCCCGGTTTCACCAAATCGCCCACCCTCGTGAGACGTGCGTCCACCACGGGTTTCTCCATGGCAGGGCCCACACGAGAGGGTAGTGCCATGTTGGGGTTTCGTAACAGCGGCTCGTGAGCGAATTCTGATGCTGACTGGGGTGTATTCAGTCGGGCGGTGACAAGGAAACCTCATGTATCTAGGATACTCCTGTAGAAGTGGGGAATCTGTGCGAGTGGAATATCTTTAATGTCCATAAAGAAGAGCTGCTTGCTGCACTGAAGGCCCCCGAGGTTATTCAGAAAAAAAGATGCTGTGGAACACCACGTGGGTGATGGAACCGTGTAGAGAAACCTCTGTACGGCTTGTAGACGAAAAGTAGAGAGCTGGCTCCGTACACACACCAGACCGTGGCCGCCCTCCCGCAGTGGTAAGGCCAAGATACCAGCAGTCGCACGGTGCTTCCTCTGCGACCAGAAGAAGGCAGCTACCAGTCTCTCACGTTTTGCTATGAGGTATGCGGGTGGAGTGAAGGAAAAAAAAAGTGGTGCCACGAGGTGGATGCAACCAACTGGTTCACCACCAGGGTTTTCCCTCTAAACGTGAGAGACTTGCGCAGGCGCCCCCACGGCTCCAGTCGTTTCCTCACCTTCTCTTCCAGGAAATCCCAATTTTCCTGCAGTGGTTTTTCTCCAGGCCCCAGGAGCACGCCGAGATGGTGCAGACGCTCTTGGCTCCACGTTATTGTTTTGGCCAACTCAGGGAACTGGGCTTCGTCCCACTTCCCAACAAGCAGCCCTCTGCACTTCTCCCAGTTCATCCTGGAGGAGGACGCACGGGAGTAAGCCTCTTGGCACTCGTGAAGCCGTTCGATGTCATTCAAACTTAGTAAAAAGAGGAGGATGTCATCGGCATATTCTGTGAGGGTCACTCTCATACTGGGCTCCTTTAGAATCAATCCGGTGAGTCGGCGTCGGAGTAGATGCAGAAAAGGCTCCACGACGAGGGTGTAGGGCTGTCCTGACATAGGACAGCCTTACCTGATACCTCTTCTGAAATCTATAGGAGCAATTAGTCCACCATTAACTTTAACCAGACACTGGGCCATGTTGTACAGCAGACTAATCAATACATTGAAGCTGGTCCCAAAACCAAAAGCTTTCAGAGCGTCAAGAAGATACTGGTGATCGACCCTGTCAAAGGCTTTCTCTTGATCAAGGGAGAGAAAGGCAAGTGGAAAGTTCAAATGCTCGGACAGACTGATCAAATCTCTGACCAGGAAAATCCCATCATCGATGGTCGTCCCTGGAACAGTGTATGCCTGATCATCGGCAATAACCTTAGCCAACACCCTCTTAAGCCTTGCAGATGCAGCTTTCGCGATAATGTTATAGTCTGTGCTCAGCACTGAGACTGGACGCCAATTTTTAAGGTGTCTGAGGTCGCCCTTTTTCGGAATCAGTGTGAGCACGGCTCTCCTCCAGGACTGAGGCATCATGTTGGTTTCCACTGCTTCATCCAGCACGGCTTTGTAGTCTTTACGTATGGAGTGCCAAAAATGGTGATACAACTCCCCCGTCAGCCCATCAATCCCTGGGGATTTGTTCCCGGCCAGGGCACTCACTGCCATGTCCAAGTCGCTTTGTTCGACTTCTTCTTCTAGAAGGTCACTGTCTTCTTCACTCAAAGTAGGCAGGTCCTTCCAGATTTCATTCTGGGCCACTGTGGATATATGCTCTGGAGAGAAGAGATTTCCATAGTACTGTGCTATTGTTTGTAGCTATCTGATTATTGTTGGAAACAAGGACCCCCTTGTCATCAAATAAATGCTCCATGGCTTTGCGTCTACCATTCTGCTTCCCTAATGAGAAAGTGTCGAGCTTGAGTCCATATCGAGGGTATCTTTAAAACGAGAGCGTACAAAAGCCCCTTTTGCCTTTTCTTTCTGCAACCCTTTTAGACATTCTAGGGTCTCCACATACTCCTGCAGTAGGGCCTGGATCGTCCCCAATCTTCCGCCTTTGCTCTATAATATGGACCCTGTTCTCCAGCTCACAAATGTATCGGTCAATATTTGTTGTGTTTCCCCAGGCGTACAACTGACACAGTTTTTTTATGTGTACTTTCCCTATGTCCCACCATTGTGCTAAGCTATTAAACGATCTTTCTTTCCCTGCCACTCCACCCGGAAGACCCCAAAAAGACCAGTGAAGGTGGTGTCTTGCAAAAGGGCATTATTCAAATGCCAGTATGCCGATCCCCTTGGGACCCCTCGTATTTTCATTTCAAGTAGTATTAGGCGATGATCTGCCAGTGGTGCTGCCTGAATACTGGACGACACCACTATTTTCAAGATCTTTTGAGATGTAAAACCGGTCAATCCTTGACTGTGACAGTGTTCTGTCAGCTCGGATTCTCGTAAAGGTGAAACTTCGCTGTTTTGGATGTTGCGTCCGCCACACATCTACAAGCCTGTAAGTGCGGAGCACGTGCCGCAAGGTATTGAGGACACCGCTTTTGCACTGCTCAGTGGCAGTGCGGTCGAGGACATCGAGTGTACAGTTAAAATCTCCTCTCAAAATCTGACACTCGTCATTTGGGATGTTTTTGAGATGGTCCTGTAACTCATTGAAACAATTCAGTTTTTCCGCATCATTGATGGGGGTATGAATGTTTATGAGGTGGACAGAAATGTCATTAAGTTTGATCGTTATGTCGAGGGCTCTTTCCGGTACTACCTCAACCTGGTTAACTATAGTGGGTGTAAACCCTGGTGCAATTAATGTTGCTACTCCTGAAGAATAATGAGTAAGGTGACTGAAAAATCAATCACCTTTCCATTCTGTTTCCCATTCATCCTCCTCGCCGGTTGTAAGATGCATCTCCTGCACAAAGAGCACCGAGGCTTTGTGTTCTTTTGCGAGAGAACGCACAAAGTGTATCTTGAGTAGACCTCTACACCCATTTATATTAATTGCAGCTATCCGCAGCATTAAGTGTCAGTGGAGTTGTCGCCAGGTGTATTTTCTTTCCACGTAGTTATTTGGCTCAGGAAATACCTGATCCTCTCCCTTTCCTTCCCAGATGACGACTTTCCCTGTCTCTTGAAGTCCTGTTCAACATGGAGTAGGGAGGCTATAATTGCCTCCACATTTCGCCACCTTGTCAGAGCTGCAGTCACTCGTTCTTCTGAGCCATGCACTTAATCTAAAAAGGTCCACAGCTCTGACTGTGATAATATTGGTGCCCCTTCAGTCAGCTCAGCAGATGTCAGGTTCATCCCACTTCCTGTGCTGAGGGTTTCTTCCAACTCCTCTTCTTGGCTTCCCCCCTCAGCCCCCAGGCTTTGAGGATTTTCAGTCATCGTGGTATCCTCCGTCATTGCTTTATTGGGTGATGCCGCTTGCCCCTCCACTGATGGCCCTCCATCGTCCTCGTCCTGGTCACCCCCCGTAGTTTGGTCAGTTGGGTCCTGTTTGGGCTCCTCCGTGCTCTTGGCCGCTCGCGTTTCCTGGGAGCCCTCGGCCGCATCACTTGTCTCTTTCACCACTGCACAGATTGCGTTTTCCGCCGCTTCTATTTCAGGCTCCAGATTTACTTCAGGCGTCCTGCGCTTAAGCTTGGTTCCTGCAGGGGGCTTCTTCCCTGTGCGTGTCCCACCTCTAGGGGCATCTGGGATGGTGAAGACCCCGTGCTTGCCACCAGTGCTCTCCGAATCTCCCCCAGGCGTTGGTGCGATGTCCGACTCCAACTCTGGGAGATCTTTAAAGGGATTGACCTCATCCCCACTTGACTCTGGAGACAACGAAGCCGAATCCTCCATAAATTTCCCCTTCAGAGGTTAGGCTGTCAATGATGGCTGGGTGGCTGGCTGAGCCTCAGTCTCCATGGGTGTAGCTGGTGTTGGAGCGGGGTCTACCGCCATCTCGGGTGATATCCGTAGGGAGGGACCCTCTCCTGAGTCACTTGTTGGGTGTGCTTCTTTAGCGCACTTTTCCACCCTTGCCTCGCTGTTGGATTGGGCATTTGCTGTTTTTGGGCAGTGTTTTTTTAATATGCCCCTCTGCTTTGCATAGGTTGCATTTTAGCACGTCCCTGCAGTAAAACAGCCTATGGGCCCTTCCTCCATGCATGACCACAAAGGAGCCCTCCTCAAGCTGCCCATTGGGCACCAGCATGTAGACCTGTCTTCTAAAAGACAAGACATGCCGCAAGGCAGGATTTTTGAGGCCCAAAGGCACACGCTGTAGGTTGGAAATCAGCGTGCCCAACTTAGCCAGGTTATCTTGGATGTCTTTATCGGTAATGTAGTGGGGGACGTTGGTTACGATCACACGTACCGATGGCGATGACAGTGGCTCCAAAGTGAAGTGCCAATTGTCAACCGTCAGCCCCTTCTCCATGGCGGCGTTTGCCACCTTTTCGGACTCCATGAAGAAAACCAACCCTTCCGCTCACCTTGGAGGCGTACTTTATCGAGCCTCCAGGCGCGATGGCGCCCAGCGCTTCCACGTAGACTTCGAGCGGGACATCGGTGGAAGCCGGGCAGCGGATCCCAGCCTCCAGCTGCTGCTGCTGCTACGGGCGCCTTGCAGGCCCCAGAGACCGGCCTTGCGTAGGCGCGGTAGCTTTTGCGTACGTTGTTGCGAGTGGGGTGGACATTGTTGGTGAAAAGAAATCCCTAAAATAGAGTGAGAAAAATACAGTTTTAGAGGTAAGGCCAGGAGCTTTGGGTGAAACACGTCTCTCTCCCTCCCTCCCTCGCTCTGACCGCCTCCCTCTTTCCAGTCGGTGGTCAGAAAATAATTATGACCGCAACGTTTGTGTCGCAATTCACCACAATTACATAACCACTCCCCACACCTAGGGGAAGGGGTGAGGGGGCGAGGGGGTGGATGGTGGGGGGCGGGGGGAGTTGCTCATGGTCAGCATTGAACTCATGCCGAGCCAAGGGAAGGTGGCCGGGTTTCTTGTTGTTGTGAATTATAACCTAAACATGTTAAAGGCGCAGCCCTGCAATTGCTCTCTCAACGCCGCTGCTGGCGAAGAGGGGTCTCCTCCACGAACGACATCGCTGTAGTCATTTGCTTCGGCGTCCTCTGTACAACGTGTACAAAGACAAAGATTCCCACCCTCGCCGTTATAGCCCGCACAGACTGGCGGTGCAAGTGCTGTTAGCGAGTACCTTGTTGGGCCTGGCACGGCACACGTAGGCGGTGCAAGGCCAACACCACGCCCGGTCGCCTTTGTCTCCCCAATGCTGATGTTTACACACCGCACCAGGTACTCATTTCAGGTTGAGTCGATATAGAGGGAGGCCCAGGAACCGGTTCAAGATATTCGCCACCGTTATTGATTGCGAGCGGGAAATCGAACTCGGGTGGGAGCCCGAGTTCATAGCGCAGGGCGCTTACCGCCGTTCAAACGCGCACGTACAGCGTCACACCACAATCATCATAATCATCATCATCAGGCGCGGGTAGCGTGTTACCGGCGTTGTATTTGAACGAGGACTGGTTAGCACGGTTAGAGGTGTATACCGTGGGCAGTGTGGACATCTGTAATGTCGCACACCATGCCTTAGACTGTTGCCGATCAAGACGATATAACCAACTATAGCATATATTCACAATTTAATTCACATTCGTCAATAACACTGTGGCCTTGAATCTGAAATATAGATGCGTGCTATGAAGAAGGGCTATTGCCCATGACGTCGCCTATGATACGTTTCATTCGAAGGCCATTGCAATGCCACAAGGTGTTATTGACGAACGTGTTGGGTGGTATTGTTGGAGGTTGTACTGGACATCTGTGAAAAAGAGCATTATAGATCCCTCCAGTATAAATTCAGATTTTGAGAAAGATACTGATTTTGCACGACTGCCAACGCAGCAGCCATCAACATTATATTTCGCTTACATATAACAGATATATATTTGAATCACCGTTTCTGATAAGGCCAGTCGCGATGGGCCGCAACGGGGAACTAATGCGACGTAGCAAATGGAACGAGCGATGGCTGTGACTGATCTTTGGCCGTAAAAAAAAAAATATTGCGGCTTTGATCCTCGCCAGACCATGAGATATGGCGGGCACATGTGTCGGCTACTGTGGCACAGCGGTGGGGGGGGTTAGGGTCGGGGTCGAGGTCGAGGTTGGGCACACGGCTCATCCCAGTCCCTGAGAATGCACGTGTGCGTTCGTGTGCACGCGCGCGCGCGTATGTGTGTGTGTGTGAGTATGGGGAGACACTGGAGAGACAAAGGCGGCCGGGCGTGGTGCTGGACACCGACCCCCTCGTGTGCCGTGTCGGTCTTCATAGGTGCTCGCTAGCAGTCCTTGCATCCAAAAATCTGTTTTGGCTCTACGGGGGATATTTGTTTTTTTGTCTTTGTATTTCTGCACACGTGTGTGTAGGGGTGGCGTTTTCGTGTTTGTTTACACGTAGGCTTTCGCGTAAGTGACATATATGGCGTACACCCTTATCCACCATGTACAGCCAGTTAATAAAGGGTTGCTGTGTACATGTACTTGAAAGGAATCATTTATCTCCCTCCCCACCCCGCACCCCCCAACAATGAAAATAATCGGGAATAATATTTTGGAAACGGTCAAAAAAATATTGTCAAGACAATCCACTTCTAGCGCAGTCACAGGCCTACTGTCAACAAGGCCACCACCACCAACACCACCACCAAGGCCACCACCACTAACAACACCACTCCCAACACCACCACCACCACCAAGACCACCAACACATCACTAAAACCACTGTCACCATCACCAAAACCACCACCAAGACCATCACCACCAATATCACAAACACAACATCGAACACCACCAACATCACTACCACCACAAAGACCACCACGACCATCACCACCCCCAATACCATCAAGAACAATACCACGATTACCGTTACCACCACCACCACCACCACCGCCACCACCACCGCCACCACCACCGCCACCACCACCACATTGACCATGCTAACACCAGCACTGCCACCAGCCCCACAAAACACTTTACAAGGCCGGGCCCCCTGTCCCTGATGAGTATGCTTCACAGGATCACCTTTAACCCAGCTCATCTTTGACCTCTGCGTGGGTGCTCCCTGCCACGCCGATTATCCCGATATTGTATGCTCCCCGGAGTCCGAATCTCCCTCGGCTGTGGTGAAAGGACTCCAGCCCACCTGACGCACACACACGCACACAAAGACAAAGACCCCTCGTGTATCCTCCACAGGTTGTTGGGGCAAGTGCTGTTAGCGAGCACCTATGAAAGCCAGTACAGCACACGAGGTGGTGCGTGGCCAGCACCACGCCCGAACGCCTTTGTCTCCCCTGTATCGATTTTACACATAGCACCGGCTACTAATGATTGAGGCTGAGTCGACCTAGGGGAGGCCCAGAACCGGTTCAGATAATCGTCACTAGCGTTAGCCGTGAGGGGGAATCGAACTCGGGTCGCCGACCATAACCTTCGGGGCTGGATGGCGAAACTCAATATTTATTGTTTACATTCGTGGTTTTTTGGTTTTTTATTATTATTACGTATTATTTTTATTCACTTAATTTTTCATTATTTATTTTTCTTCTATCGACGTGACTTTACCGAAATAACCAAATAATATTTAGTGTTTCTTCTCAGAGCTGAATTTTTGAAGGCAAAGTTCAGTAGCAATTTTTTTTTAAATAACCGCACCTCCGATTAGCACGGTTGGCTACGTACGGTGCGAATGAAGTTCAAAATATCTACGAGACAAATATCCCCCGAATAGCCTTAACAAACTGTAGGGGCAAGTGCTGTTAGCGAGAACCAATGAGGGTCGGCACGGTACACGAGTGGTTGGGTGGCCAGCACCACGCCCGACCGCCTTTGTCTTCCCAGTGGCGATGTTTATACATTCTACCAGGTTTCTCATTTGAGGCTGAGTCTACCTAGGGGAGAAGGCCCAGGACAGGTTCAGGTAATATAATCGTCACCGTTGCTGGCCGTGAGCGGGAATCGAACCTGGGTCGCCGGGGTTCATAGCGCAGCGCACCAACCCATCCCAACACACAAACACACGTACACATGCGCGTACAAAGACAACGATCCCCCGTGTAGCCTTAACAGACTGTTGGGGCAAGTGCTGTTAGCGAGCACCTACGAAGGCCAATACGGCACACGAGGGGGTGGGTGGCCAGCACAACGCCCGGCCGCCTTTGTCTCCCTAGTGGCGATGTTTACAAACCGCACCAGGTACTCATTTGAGGCTGAGTCTACCTAGGGGAGGGCAATGACCAGTTCAATCAATCGTCACATACACACGTACACATGCACGTACATACACACACACACACGCGAGCAAGGCTACCGAAGAGGGAACTCACCACTGTCAAGCACAATCCCCCCGCTTCTCCCCCCGCACAACCCAAGCAGCATCTTCCAACATCTCCGTAACGGGGGGGGGAGGAGGAGGAGATGCAATCATCATCCTCATCATCGTCATCACGGAGCTCTGCACACTGGTGGTGAGGAGGGAGGTGGGATGGTGAGGAGGAAATGGTGGAGAGGAGCAAGTAGTGGTAATGAGGGAGTGGTGGTGAGGAGGGAGGTGGGGTGGTGAGGAGAGAGGGGGTGGTGAAGAAGGAGGTGAGGTGGTGAGGAGGGAGGGGGTGGTGATTATGGAGGTGGGGTGGTGAGGAGGGAATGGTGTTGAGGAGGAAGCAGTGGTGAGGAGGGAGTGGTGGTGAGGAGGAAGGTGGCGTGGTGAGGGTGCAGTGGTGGGGGAGGGGAACCATTCGTTGGAGGTTACTTAAGGAGAGAGGCTGGAGGGGGGTGCGAGGGGGTGACCCAGTGAATGGATGTAGCGGGTGGTGGTCGCGGGTGGCTTTGGAAGATGAAACTAGAAAGTGGAACAAATTCCATCAAAGGCGCGAAGCACTGAGCTCCGGAGAGATCACAGACAGAATGTACCTTGTGTGTGCGTGTGTGTGTAATTAGACTAGCGCACGGGCGGGAGCGGTGGCGCAGTGGTTAGCGCACTGCGTTGTACGATGAACCCAGAGACCTAACATCAGTAGCGAGTGCTATCTGAACCGGTTTCTGCCCCCCCCCGCTCCTCCCCCCCCCCCTCCAGGGCCCCTGCTCACTTCAACAACAATTATCACCGATTATTTGCCACGAAGAAGAGTCATCTCCCGAAACGTCGCCTATTAAATACAAACAATGAGTTGAATATTACCTCTTTCGGCCCACCTCCCTCGTGTTCTTTCCGAACGTGCTGAGTGTTACATGTCTGGTCATCCAGATGGTGAAGTATGGTCAAACAAGCCCCCTCCCTCTCCGCCCAGCCGACCGCACGGACCATTTGAAATGAACCCTGTTGATGAACCTCTACAAAGTTAAACAGCAATTGCGTACCGCCGTGTAAAAGTGTAGCGGTTAGCGCCCTGCGCTACGAACCCGGCGATCCAAGTACGATTCCCGCTCACGGCCAACACCGGTTGACGATTATCTTGACCTACGAGTACCTCGTGCGGTGCGTAAACATCACCCCACCGGGGAGACAAAGGCGGCCGGGCGTGGTGCTGGCCGCGGATCCCCTCGTGCGAGCGAATGCGTGGCCAGCACTTCGCAAAACAGAATCCTGCCCCAAAATTACGCGAAGGCTATGCGGGGGATCTTTGTCCCGTGAAGGTAAAAGCGCTCAACCTGCAATTGCTTTGCTCGCAGTCACTGTTGGTGGACGCGCCTCAAGGGCGTTTGGTGTCCTGTTGGACGACGCGTGAACGTCTTCTAACGTCTCCAAGACAAGCGAAAGACGAAAACAATTATATACCCCCCCCCCCTCCTCGACTCGCAGAGTTCGGGGTGGTTGCGTGATTATTTATTTATCTACTCGTTACACATTTATTTTGAATAGCAGAGCGAGAGGGGATCTCTCTCTGTCTCTCTCTCCCTCCCCTCCCACCCTCTCTCTCTCTCCCTCTCCCTGTGCCTAAACAACATCTGCTGCACAGTCAGCCGCCCTGCGAAGCAACCACAATGACTTATTCAATCCACTCGCGCAACTCCTCACAAATCCCAAACGCCACGTGCACGGCCCACCACCATCCCCCACCTCCCCCCCCCCCCCCCCACGTGCGTACCTCCGCTGCTGGATGAAGGCCCTCCATCTTCAACGCCATACTTCACCGCGTGGGTCGGTGAAGAAATTGCGGGCGAGGGCGCAAATTTGAATGAGTTCGGAATTTTTTATTTCTCAAAGTACAACTTTTTTTTGGTTTGTTTTATATATTTCCGTAACGCGCAACCGAATTTGCTTCGGCCGTGGCTAATACTGTTGAAGTTTAATAATGGGGATAAATATTGTTTTTTTCTCGTCCGCTCAGTAAAATTAAACGGACACGTGTATTTATTAATGTCCCCAACCACAGATCCGAATGGGAGGAGCGGTGGCGCAGTGGTTACCGCAACACGTTTACGTGAACCCAGTTAACCCTTGGGGGAGTTCACGGTCCGGCCACCGCTGACGATCCCTCAGCAGCGGAGAGTGGCGTCAGAATCCGTTCCGGACTCCCATCTCCACTGCGCACTGACAGGCGTGGTGAAGTATGGTCCGACAAACCCCCGTATGGGATGGGGGTGGGGTGCTTGGTCTTTATCCAGCAGTTGATTGACAAAGGCCCGTAAAATATAATACTGATTGTATTATTATAATTTAATCAGCCGCGCACAATAGGGTCGTGTTTGCGTGTGGAGTGGGCGGTTCGGGGGAGTGCTGTGCGTGGGGTGCGGTAGTGCAGCAGTCACCGCACAGTCCTTTCGAACACGGCGACCCGAGTTCGATTCTCGCACACGGCCAACATCGGTGACGGATATGTATGTACAACACATCGGCCACTGGGGAGACAAAGGCGGCCGGTCGGCCGGCACGGACGTGGTTAGCTTGCCAACCCACCTGCTCGTGGTTGCCGTGCCGGCCTTCATCGGTGCTACTCGCGAACGGCACTTGCCCCAACAGTCTGTTAAATGCGGGCACGGGATGGGGAATCTTTGTGTTGGGAGTGTTGTGTGTGTGTGTTTTTCCCACGTGGTATTTCCCAGAACGATGGTAGCCGAGCTCTCCCTTGCTAGGGGTGGGACAGGCTAAGGGGTTAGAACAATGAGGCGTTGTCACGCACACGACAATGCGTGCCAGTGAACCGTCACCCAATCCCGAGGAAGGCATTCATTAATTCATCAGCAACAAAGCAAGCCCCCCCTTAGCACCCCTCCTTTAGCCCCCCCTTAGCCCTCCTCCTTTAGCCCCCCTCCTTTAGCCCCCCTTAGCCCCCCTCCTTTAGCCCCCCTTAGCCTCCCTCCTTTAGCCCCCTCCTTTAGCCCCCTTCTTAGCCCCCCCCCTCCTTGCATGTAAGACGGCGATGGATCTGTGAGCGAGTCGGTGTGATGCTGCCATGCACGTGTTGGTGAGAGTTTACGTTCCCTTGAAACATTATCGGGTTTCTTTCGGGGGTAAGATCGCATTATGGGGGGGGGGGGGTAAAAATGTCGTTTTTGTTTTACTGTCACCCTGCAACCTTCACCATCCTACAAGTTGTTTCCTAAGCATCGTAGGAGACTATCGCTCGACTGGGTTTTGCGGTGTTTTCGGCAAAAAAAAATGTTTGCGTCGCTGTAAATCCCTCGCAACAAAAAAAAAGAGTGATTTTTTTTCTGTTGTCCGACGTTTCGTATCTGTCTAAGTCACCGGTGCCCGCGCTGAGTCCTCCGATTCGCGTTGTACTTAAGCACCACGGTTCGATCGCAGGCGGCGGCTGAGACCCCGGGATCGAACCCATGCGGACAAAGAGTGCTGGTTCGGACTCTCTGACCTCTGAATCACCTTCCGACCGCACTAAACAAGATTTGCAAACATGCAATGCCACCGATCGTCATTTCGGTTACATTTTGGTTACATTATGCACATTCATGAATAAATCTGCATGCGTAAAACGTGGAACAAAGTATGCGGTATATGTTTGACACGCAAAGACAAATATCCCCCGCATAGCCTTCACACACTATCGGAGGCAAGTGTTGTGAGCTGCATACGAGGGGGGGGGGAGGGGGTGGGTGGCCAGCACCACGTCCGGCCGCCTTTGTCTCCCGAGTGGCGATGCTTACACATCGCACCAGGCACTCGTTTGAAGCTGAGTTGACGGGGGAGAGGCGCAGGACCGGTTCCGATCATCGTTGCTGCTATTGGTGGCCGTGA